ACGCGCCCTCTAGTGACCATCAGGACTCAGCACAAGAGGCTAGCCGACTCCCAGTTTCTGTTTGCCTTTGAATGGGAAAATCCCATTTTAAGAGAAAAGCAGCAATATACTTGGACAGTTCTCCCACAGGGGTTTAAAGACAGTCCTCACTTTTTGGATCACGCACCAAAAAGAAAAAAAAAGACTTGAAAAACCTAAGGCTTAAGCAGGGAACTATCTACAGTATGTAGATGATATTCTAATTGATAGCCCCTTGCAACTCCAGTCTTATTTCCAGTTCCTTAGAACCATTAAAACCAGTCTATACTCCCCAGCAAAATAAATGGGCCTCAGGACAAGGGGGAATTAAAAAGGGACTCTAGTGTTACTTAGAAAACAAAATGGTCAAGTTAGTAGAAACATTATAGGCAGTCAGATAGGGCTGGACCCTCAACAGAGTCAATGCAAAAGATGAAAACACATTATAACCATGGCCAGAGACTCATCTGTTGGAGACCAGGCCTCAGGATAAAGACAAAATGACCAGGCCTGCATATTTTCCAAAAGGACAACATAAGTGGTAACACCTGACCTAATGAAGTCTAGCTAGACAACAGCCCAGTAGGTGACCAAGAGCTCTGGACCCATTATTTCCTAGAAAAAGTCTTTGTTCTTTCCATGTGCACTTGTTACATGACTTGTTCCTCCATTGGATCACTATCAACTAAGTGACTATACTTGTAACCTTATTGGTTGTTCATAGCTTTAACCACATTGTACCCACGTGGTTTTTACACTATAAAACTTACCCTGAAAAGTGAGGCCTTTGGCTACCCATTCAGGACCCCTCTTGCCTCTCAGGAGCTATTCTCTCAATAAACACTTCCTATTCTTAACCTCCATTGTTCCTAAAATTCATTCTTCAATTTTAGAGAACATGAACTCAGTGTATAAGACATCTAACAGCTTGGGAGTTATAATGTTTCCTTTATATCATTTTTTTGTAATAGGAACCAAACTCAAGCCCTCATGCTTGCTAGGCTGCCACTGTGCTGCTTAGCCACATCCTTGGCCCTCCCTTATATCATATTTGAAGGTACTGATATCATTTCCTATATCAAAGGAACACAGTGGAAGGCTATAAAAATACTCCATGATTCCTTCCATATAAGAAGAAATCCAAGGATGTAGCTCAGTGGCACAGTGCCTGCCTGGCAAGTGCAAGGTCCTGAGTTTGATCTCTGGTACCAAAAAGAAAAGAAAAAGAAACAGCACATTAGAAATGGTCCCTCAAGTTTTCTCCAGAGGTGAACAAAGGAGATGAATACAGGAGGTCTACAAAGCTTGCTCACTCAGTGCTACAGTAACCTGGGGAAGCCCAAACCACCTCCTTTATTAGAACCTATACAGAGGAGATGGATATACCCTGGAGAGGACTGCTAATTAGACTTTACCTGTATGTCACCACATGAAGGATTTAAACAGATGTTGGTCCTGATTGAAACCTTTACAGGCTGGATTGAAGCCTATCCTACCCATTTGGAAATGACTACAGAGATAGTCAAGATATTTCTTAAAGGTCAGCCAGGTAATGGTGATGCATGACTGTAATCCAGCAGTTGGGAAGCTGAGGCAGGAGGATCACCATGAGTTCAAGGCCAGCCTGGGCTACATAGTGAGTTCAAAGCCAATTTGAACTGCATAGCAAGACTCTCTCTCTCTCTCTCTCTCTCTCTCTCTCTCTCTC